GAAGTTCATGCATGCTCAGGAAATGTGTTTAGGAGCTGGGAGGAGGAAAGGGGAAAACTGCAGACGTTCCCCTTTTTCAGGACCTCTGATATGAGCAAGCAAGACATTTGGCCTTTAGCTTAACCACATCTTCCCATTTCTTTTTACAACTCTGCAAACTGTTAAAATGTCCCTTTACAATCAGCATAACTTTTATATGCTTAGCACCTTATAACTTTAGCATCTAGACTGACCCTTAGCCACACAGTCACTAGGTCAGCAAAAGCTTGAGGTACAGAAGCAAAGAAGCAACAGGCCTTTAACGCTCCCTACAATATGTATATATATGTACGCTCATCTTCAATCTCTGTAACCTATTTAAGAAGCATCTAGACTGACCCTTAGCCACACAGTCACTAGGTCAGCAAAAGCTTGAGGTACAGAAGCAAAGAAGCAACAGGCCTTTAACGCTCCCTACAATATGTATATATATGTACGCTCATCTTCAATCTCTGTAACCTATTTAAGAACTCTGTTGATGAATCTCAGCTCAGGAGACCATTGATTCACTGTAACTTGCTAACTTTAATAAAATGATGGTTGGATTCTCTCCAATTATTGGTGTACTCTTAGGGAAGTTTTTTTCACCACAATACAGAGAAACGCTTTAGTATTTTTGGGGGGTGCTAAACATATTTTTTAAAATTCTTGGCATAGTTGTGAACGCCCATTATAAGAAGGAATTGCTCATTATCCTGAAGTTCTCTATCAAATTATTAGAATTACCAAATAACATGTTCCTACCACTTTTTCTTTAACTAATGACTCCAAATCAGACTCTGCATGAATTCAAAAATTACCAATCTAGAATTGCACGATCTACAGGGGGTGGGTGATATGTCAAACTTTGCATTAATAGTAGTTGGTGGAATCTGAACTGAGAGTAGGTAAGATCTGCATATGCCCTTCCACAGAAGTACACATCAGCATGGAGCCATACTCACTCTTACAGAAAAGCAGGGAGGAGACTTGCACCATGAAATTCAGATATGGTTGCACCATGAAATTCAGATATCAGACCTAACTGCAGCAGACTGCTGAGTCTGTAGAGCAGAAGGCTGGGAGCTCAAACCTCCTCTTCAAAAACCATCTATATCTTCACACCTGACTCCTTCTCCAGCTTTGTGTGAGCAGCTTGGTAGTTCCTGTTGAACTACCTAAATTCCAGGGGTTGCCTCACCTGTTGTATGAGAGAGATAGGGCTATACTGCCTTATTGGTGATTAAAAGATAAAAAAATATTGAAATAATTCTATGACACTACAGTACTTCCTAAGTATATAGCACAGAGGCATTTGGTTAGAAGATTCAATCCTCTCTCCCGCTCCCCCTGCACCCTTCCTCCTTAGTAGACAACAAGAAGTAAACAAAATCATTTTTTTAAAAAAAGACAAAATATAAAATGCTTTTAGCTTTAAATATTAAAATACAAACATTCAGTACTGGAGAAGAAAAATTATAGAACTGCCCATACTACAGTCAGCAACTTAAAAGAACATTAAAAAAAAAATAACATGCTCTGGGCAGATCACAAAATGGAAGTCCTTTCATTGTCTGTTCCCAGAGTCACTGGGAGTCAGGCAGCATATACATTTAATATATTATTATTATTATTATTATTATTATTATTATTATTATTATTATTA